AATCTACTTGAGTACAGTAACAAAGTATTTGTACTTCGTTACTTCCCATCTCTGATTATAAAACAGCTATTCTTATTGTGACAGAAACAAAAAGAAACAGAAAGTAAAACAGCAGCTTTGTTCTAATTTATGCTTCATTTAATGTCTCATTAACTTTCATTCTTATTCAAGTAAAAAAAAGTGAACCACAGTACTGATTAGTAGTGTTGCACCGATACCAGTATAGGGCGGGGCCCTGATCCAGCACTAAAATGGTGGTATTGGTATCAGTAAGTACCAACAAATAAGGCAACAATACCATTTAGAGAGCCAAAAGTTTATTCATCTATTGTCACCCATTCCAGGTAGGCAATAAAAAGTTCTACTGGATTCACTTTGTATTAGTCTTTTTCCTGCTACACAAAGGTAGGCAGCAGCTTGACAAAGCCATGATGGCAATTATTTTACATCCAAGTAGTATGCAGTTCTTCATCTATATATACACACACACACACACACACACACACACACACACACACACACACATACACACATACATCAATTTAAAACAGATGGTATTGGGGCCAAAAAATGGCATCGGTGCAACACTACTCGTTAGTCTTAGATGCTCCTAAACCAGAATATCCAAAACTGTAAAACAAGAATATTTACTCGTCATCTTGAGTTGCAATCATCAGGCTTTTTGTTGCCATTCAAGTTTTTTTTTCCCTGAATAAGATTTTTCTTTCTTTGCCAAAAATGATAATGTTTAAAACATTAAGGAAATATTTTTTTTCTATATATATATATAATAGTTTTTAATCTAACTAGAAATGAAACAATAACATTAGGATCAGTTTCTTTATCTATCTGCTGTTAAGTTTTATTTAAAGAAAGCCATTTTATAACACTCTGTGTCATTCTGTGAGCTCTTTGGGTTTCTGTACCACAAGTAAAAAAAAATCATTGGATCATTTATGTGTTTCCTTAGGATTTGTTGAAAAAAGAGTAGATGTCCAAAGACAAACTGGCCTGTTTTAATCTCTAATTGATTGTTGCACCACTAACAATAATTTCTCAAAGGTCAAACTTGTATTTATTTAAGGAATGCTGCTTTTTGTTTGCACCGTTGTTAGTGGTGAAATCCATACACCCTATTGCCTCATACAGATCTGGGTTCACATTGAGAGGAATATCACAGATTCAGGCCTGATGCATTTCTAAATATCTCATAGCTTTTGACGTCTCAGGGGGGCTGTAACTCTCAGGCTGGAGGTAAATATAGCTTTAAAAAATCGGTTATTAACATCTTTGCACTTTAGAATAACTTTTTCTGTGTTCAATAAGCGTTAGGTAAGCTTTTGAGGCCCATAAACTTTACTGGTTTGCACACAAACATTCATATACCCAGACCTAAAACCTGCCTTTGCACAGCAGCTTTAATCACTTGGAAATATCTCTTCTGCCAGGAAACATTTGAAGAGATGTTTTTTTTTTTTTTTTTTCCCTAACTCGTAATTTGTTGGCGGTTTCAGTTGTGTGTCCGTGTTGCCCAAAATTTGCCTGCATGGCTCACCGCCATCATTGCACAACAATGATCAGATGGAGCCTTGCTCATTACAGAATAACCGCCGCTATGCTCCGTGTGGAAGCCGTCCACACAGCATAGGCGGGAATTAAATGTGGCCTGCAGCAGTTATGGCCTTGTTTGGGTGGGTGTTTGGCATCAAATACACACACACACAAAAAAAAAAAGTTTTGGTGATTTCATGCTTAAGAAAATGTGTTTTAGTACCGGTTATAAAAACTAGAAGCATGGTATGCGACTGTTAATGAAAAAAGAATGGGCTCTCCGTGATTTGGTCATGCATGCATTTTTTTAATGCTTAACAGAACATTTGTTAACCATGAATATACTTTTTAGAAAATGAAACAATGATTATTATGGTATAAAAATGCAGAGAAAAAAAAAACAGTAGCTTTTAAATGTGTATGCATTCCTTTTACTGTCATTTTTTTCTGCTAAAGGAAATGGTGCAAATAATCTGCAAACTTTTTCTGAATATAATTTGATATTGATTATTTGCAACCCAGAAACAAAACAAAATAATCCAAACCTGTTAGACGGAAATGTTTAAATAAGAAGATGCAAATCGGATAAATGGAGGCAGAAGATGTCTTTCAGTCATCAATGCACACATTCAGAGACACACAGGAGCTCCTTCAAGCTGGGCACCATTTCATTCACAACACCTGTCCCATCAACCAGGAATCCACATCACTGCATCTGTAATAGATGGACTATAGGACCAGTTTGCTATAACACAATTTCATACAATATATAATTAGGGGTCCCCGCTCCATCTCGCAATCAGTTTGGGGGTCTTTGGCCTGGAAAACTTTAAAGACCCCTGTCTAAAATGAACAGTAACATTCAGCTTCCTGCATCTTGAGTTAATTATATTTGTTCTCTCTGCCTTGCAAATGTTCTCTAAATGTTTCAGGTTAACTAGAGCTTGGCAGGGGCATTTCAAAACTTCAACAATCCTCTACTGAAGCCGCTCTCTGGTTAAAACGGTTGCATGGTTGGACTCACAGGGATGCTAAAGCATCAAATCTCTCTTAATTTTCTTATTTAATGCAGACACTTCGAGGTTCTTGAGCTACAACTGGTTTGCTTTGGCACCTGGGGGGGATTTACCATTAGGCAATACTCAGCTGTTGCCTAGGGCCCCAAGTTCCTGGGGGCCCCATAAAACTGTTTAAATGTATGGTTAATATAACTATTCCTTGTGTGTCCACATTAATTATGTTTTTATATAAAATCCTTTGGCTAAAATGCCATCAGAACGCTTATAATATTAAGTGTGTCTCAGCCCCCCCCCTTCAGTGTCCACCATATTGGATCAGTCCATTTGATCCAAATGTTCTGAAAGGTCCAAACAGACAGCAGCAAACCATTTGAAAACAAACGATGCAAAGAGCAGTGTTGCCAACTTAGCGCTTTAGTCGCTATATTTAGCCACTTTTCAGACCCCTCTAGCACTTTGATTTCAAAAAGCGCCAAATCTAGAGACTTTTTTCTGCTACTGGAGACTTTGGAGACAACACCTAAAAGCAGCGAACTCTGCTCTCCAGAGCAAGTATATTGGTAAGACAGGCCCCCTGCCTGTCTTTGCCTAGGGCCCCACATTTCCTAAATCCGCCCCTGTTTTGCACCAATCCTATTTTATCTACCTCCTCCCAAAAGATTAGTCTAATCTAAAGATAAGTAGCCAGTAGATCATAATGGTGGCTTTAATCAAGAATGGGGGATTTCTTTTAAAGAAAAGACTATTTTTCTTTTTCATCACATAAAGAAAAGAAAGATGTTTTCACTTGTGACCTGTGCAACAATTAGCTGAACAGAAAGCAGATCTCTCTGCTTAATCAATAACATTTCAAAGCTTAGTCTGTCTTAGTGATGTGTTCGTGATTTCTCTGTTTATTTTACCGAATGGTGGTTGAAGTATTGAGGTTAAAGGAACTGTTCTACCTGCTGTTAATTATCTGATAAGATCATGTTGTCTGCTCCAATAACAGGACTGCAGACACTTAAAAAACAAACAAAAACGGAAATAACCCAGAGTCTAATGTTGCAGAGAAATTGAAAAATAAATATAAAGCAATGAAAGGATTAATGGGAAAATTAGCTGCGTTATCTGAATGAAACAAAAATAATCTAGCCTACCCCTATGATCTTGATATAACTGTATCGAAAAAGGCTCGACATTTGGATCCACTGCTGTTCTTGGATTCCTTTGAAAGGCTTCAGAGGGTGGAGTAATTACTTTCCTTACAGCATAATTACAGCAGATTGAGAAAAACTAATGTGCACCAAATAATAAAAAACATGCTGATGTAGAAAAATGAATCACACCAGTAATTTTGCTTAAAAGATTTTGATCCAAGTTTTATCTGTATCTACTAAATAATCTACCAAATTAACAAAAAACACCAACATATTGCATGCTCTGGATAAAATAGCAGACTGTTAACTAAAAGGCAGTACGCTTAATTATAAATCTCGCATGCTATTATATGAAAATACCTCATGAATATTCAGTTAGATTTTTTTTTGTCTTTCAGACAATAGATTGTTGTCTGAATATTTCAATGATTTAGACACGTAAAATGAAATCTATTCAAATTTGATCATATTTCCCTTATATTTAACCTTGTAGTTCATTCATTCGTTCATTTATTCATTCAGGTACAGACAACCACTTAGCCATCAGTCATGCAGGACAATCAATCAGCATCCCCAGCCCGCCGCCTTCATCCAATCAGCGAGCAGGGATGCATTCGCCGCCTCCCAGACGTGCTGCAGTCAGAGAGTTCAGCGGCACCTATGAAAGCCTGCCAGCTCGCTCTGTGCAGGTAAGTAAACAACACTTCCAATCAGAATCAGCTCTATTTGCACGCTGGTGCATGCAAGAAAAAATTTTGACTCTGGTTCCACTTTGCAATCAATGAGGATAAATATTGTTATTAAATTTGTAGCCAAATATGTTTCTTCACAAGTGACAATGATGATTGGACTGGTGCAAAAAAACCTTTCCGGATTAATTAAAACCTTACTGGGTTTAAACAGGCCTCTGGGCTGTGAGTAGTAGAGTTATTTTTAACTGTTGCTTTAAGTTCTTTGTTGTTTATTTCTTCTGTTTGAAATTTTTTTGTCTTCTCATCTAAAACGCCTCCGAGTCCTATTTTTTTATTTGAGATTCCTTCTACTTTTTTATATCTAAAGTGCTCGTTGTTAGACATACTGGTTCCATTTCAGTCCAAATGGAATATTCCAATCAGATAGTAAACCAATAAGTCTAAATCTTTGTTATATGTTTATGTCAGGTTTCAGAGTCGTGTGTGGTTGAATGCCCCAGTATCCAGATAACCACCATTTCACCAGAAGATGACCCAGCACCAACTATTGCCAGCTACTGGGACACCAGCAGCAGTGGTGGGTGGGACAGAGAGCGCCTCTACCTCCCCCTGCTGGACCCCTTTTCTTACCGCGACAGGTTCCCTGGCTCCCTCAGCCCCAGCCCCGCCTCCAGCCCTTCATCCAGAGGCTGGCTTAGCCCCGCTTCCAGCTGCGACTCCCTGCTGGTGGAGGAAGAGGAGCTCAATGAGGCCACCATTAGTTTTGGACTTTCTCCCTCCTCCAGGCCTACTTCTCCTGGGGGTAAAAAGCGCAGGAACTCTCCTTTAGCTTCCCCCTGCATCTCACGGCGAAGCAGTTACTCAGAGGACCTGCAGGGGTGTAACCTCGAAGGTGGAGAGTCTACCTCCCAGTCTCAAGCTCTGCCCAGCCTCTGTGAGCTAAACATCCCGCAGAAAACCAGGAAGACATCACTGGAGCAGGCAAAGATCCTGACTTGCTCTTATTACGCTCTTTACCAAATTCCAAGCAATTCAATTTATAAGTAAATGAAAGCGTTTTTTATGTCAGTTGTCTCCCAGAGAGGGGGATCAGGAACAGGGACCGGGCCGAAGCTCCCCCTGCCCGCTGCCGGAGACCCAGCAGACCCGGAGGGAGCCCCCATCCGTCGGAATGGACTACCTCCCTGTGCCTCCTGCTCTGGCCTGGGGCAGAACCAGAGCTAGTGCCCACAGTCCTCTATTCAGGCAAGAACACTTTTTATGTTGTCATCAAAGTGTTAAAAACCTTAGGAGAGGTTTTAATGTCCTCCATTAAAACAGAAAAGTAACTGAAAAACACATCACAATGAAAGCACTCCATGTTTCTCTTAAAGATAGAGTCCAAAAATGAATCCAGTATAACCTCAATCGTTCAAAATGGCTAATTTGATTCCACACTTTAATTCATAATTAGACTTTAATGAAGTAAAAAAAAAACTCTGGTTTCATTTATACCTAGGCTGCTCTTGAAGCAGGGTCTTGATTTTCCTTGTTCACTTTTCTGACCCTAAAAAATGTCATCAAAACATATTTTTTTAATTAAAAATATTGGAGAAAACACCAAATTCACAACAATATGGCTTTATTGCCAAAAAGGAGCCTCTTTCTCTTGAAGAAAGAAAGGTACAGCCTTACTTATGCTCGCAAAGTGTAATGATTCCTAAGACTTGTGTAGTAACGTCTTTTAGACAGACGAAACCAAAGCAGAGATGTTTGGCAATAACGCAGTGCAATTTGTTTGGTAAAACCAAACACAACTTTTCTGCAAAAACACATCATACAAGCTGACAGGCATGGTGATTGAGTGATGGTGTTTAGGCTTGTTTTGCAGTCACAGGATCTGAACACGTTGCAATCATTAGGCCAAACATAAACCTCTCTGCATGCCAAAGTGCTCCAGATTCAAACGTGAGGCCATCTGTCTGATATAATCAAGAAAAGGATGCCAAACACAACAGCAAAACTACAACAAAAAAATGTCTGTAAATGAAAAGAATCAAGTGGCTGCAGTGACCTAGTTAAAGTTGATACCTCAACCTAATTAAGAATGCCATTGGTGGACCATAAGCAATCCATGCAAGCCATGGTTCCCCCTCCTGCTTCAGCATTTCCATTTTGGTTTCATCTGTGATGAAAGGTTAATAGCATGGCTGAAGAATCACCTGCGATAAATCTTAACAAAGTGGTGCCAGATGCACGTGGTGAATCACTGCTAGTTTGTGCTGCTTACATTTTTATTCACGCCTCTATCATTGCAACTAAGCAGGCCCCCATTTTACTTAAACCACACAGGTGTCAAGCTATGTTGGTGTTGCTAAGCTTGTGGTTAAACATTATTTGGTGTTATTTAGATTACAGTGTAGGTACCAGATCTGCTCGGGGCCCTGCCCTTTCCTATGACATCATCATAACGCCACTCGGACAAACTGTATTGCACCCGTTTCTTATGAATCAGATCTCTTCTGGAGTCTTAACATATTATTACCCATATTTTTTTACATTTCATCAACGATCTAAAGTAGTCAAATGTAGAAAACAATCATTGTCGGTATCGAAGGAAAGCGCTGTGTTCTCAGACAGACTGAGCTGTGCCGTTTTACAAGGTGACACAAAAAGTCTCAGCTTATTTTTATTCTTTTTATTACGATCTGAGGGCAGGGAGGACAAATGGAACATCTTAAAATGACTTTTGTAGAGATTTTAGACGGAGAAAACAGTTATTCTACTTGTAAAAAACAAATGGCTGTTGTTGACACAAATTTATAAGGAGTGTAGCTTAATATGGTCACTACCCGATCTATCCAGGAAGCACAATCCGTCCTGCATGAACAGATATACATCTGGGTGTCCATGAATAATGTAATTATAGTACTAAATCACTTATTTCTATGCTTAACTCACTAAAGAATGCTAATACACATCTTTAAAAAATGCTGTATGACTTTTGCCAGACAATTTTGATGATTTTTACATTTTCTTCGTTAAACTGTTCCTCTGATGTCATCATAGGACATGCTCAGAACAGTCCGGCAAAATATGTTTACTGTGTTTATCTGCATTTTAGTTGTTTCTTTTTTTAGATTACGCAATATATACCATAAGGTTAACACGAAAGGAAAACATAAAACTCAAAAACTAGATTTATGTTAATATCCAAACCCGAAAAAGTACCGGAAGTAGCGTAGGATCCCAGTTCAGGTGCAGATCGGGCAAAGACGACTGATAAAACAGAAAGAATTGTAAGGCATTTATTTTCTCAGGAAATACATTATTAACCTTGAACACATTATATTTTAGTATGTTTACTATTTTTGCAGAGGGAAAAACGTCATTTAGGTCTTTTAAAAAAAATAAAAGCAAAGACGGCCCGGATGCATATCTGGATGCGCAGATGAACTGATGGCGCATGCGTAGAACAGTTTGTACTTCGGGGACGAATCTGGCAGTGACATGGCTAACTGAGCGAGCTAAAATAGGCTAACCTGTTAGCCACTGAATACAGCTAGCCAAAGCACTATTCAGCTCGACCCCTTTATATCACGGCCTTGCAGTTCAGCATCGAGAGATTTTTTTCAGTTTCAGGGGAAACTTTCTCGGTCATTGGACACATTACAGATGCTCCAGACTCCGCACATGGATGCTGCATTATATTATAATCGTTGTCTAGGCAACCACGTCATGTGACAACGTTCAGCCAATCATATAGTGTAATAGCACTGACACACGCAGGGCCCGAGCAGATCTGACCACCCAAGCAGATCTGGTACCTACACCGGCAGGGGTCTCGTTTATCCCCGTCTCCATTGGTCAGACCTGTTTTACCTTCTTTCCATTCTGAGTATTTTTCCAACTGTAAAACTGTTCTTGCATTCCTTGCTATTAAAAGTAATATGCTGATTTATTTATTTACTTGTTATCACCACAGATTTGCTAGAAAGATCTTAAGTATACAAACAGATGGATCTAGTGGGACGTCCAAATACGAACATTTTATAGTTTTAGTGGTTATATATTCCCAATATCTTGTTAAAAACAGGCAGTCCCATTAGATATTTGTCACCAGTGTGACCACAGCTTAGCCACCATTTAATGGAAGGGTCACAGATGATACGTTAAACCAGAGGGGTTTCCAACAATATGTTTGCTATTCTCTGTTGATTCCTTCCTGCTATACTGTACCCGTTTGTGGTATTACATCCTATACATGTTCATTCCCAGTATCCATAGGAAGGATCCTATTCAGTGATCTGATATTAATTATTATCAGCTGTGTTTCTAGAAGTCAAACTTAATTATTTAAAGAAATGCATCCTAATTAACAATAGTAATGTTGGAAACTCCGTTATCGTCATTTGCGATTAGGGCTGGATAATATTGCTAAAACTCATATTATGATATACTGTATATCTTGATTTCTCTCAATGCAATATAAATCTGATATATTTATATAAACATCATAAAAGCCTCAGAAAAATGTGCCAAGCAAGCCCACAGCAGAGTCCTGTCCAGATGTCTGATTTTTATTATGCAAAGAAACTCCTGAAATATAACATGTCAGAAATGATTTTTCAAAAAGAAAAAACGTGTAGTTTTTGGTGCTATGAGCTCAAACAGATTAAATGCACATTCACCCAGGTGATTATCTCTCCCTCCTCATATTCAAATGGCTTCTTCCCTCTTTTAGTTTCTTTGCCATTGCCTCCATTTTTTTTAATCAACATTCATTGTTAAAGAAGACTAAATTAAATTAGCAAAACAGCTCATGATTGCCTCTGAATGTGCAGAATAAATGTCGCCAATTAATTCACAAAAACCAAGCTTTTCATTAAACCCTTAATGACACTATAGGCAGAGCTTTATAAACCATCCTATCACGATCAGGATCACCCCCCAGTTCTAGTCTTGACTTAATGTGTTCTGTTTTTTAATAAAAGCCTTATCCTCTTTAGTAAAAAAACAAAACAGATTACAGTCCTCTTGTTTTGTTACCTGGGCACATTGAACTTTAACAACAGGAAACAACACTTAATCTTAGGGGAGAGTGGCGGCCTACTGGTTACGGCATAGAGCTTGGAATCCTGGGATTCTGAGTTTGAGCCCCACTGCCACTCTGGGTCCCTTAACCCCACACTGCTCCCTGGGCGCCCCACAATGGCAGCCCACTGCTCCCCAAGTGGATGGGTTAAATGCAGAGGTAAATTTCTCGACTGTTAGATCAATAAAGTTCAATTGTTATCATAGTAAGGATCAGCTCAGTTAAAACAAAATGAATTCTTTCACCCGTTCCATAATGTGACAGGAGGGAGCTGCCTTATTTAAAGTCTGCGCTCGGCTCCCCTTTTAATTTAACTTGAAGCTATGCCGCCAGCTGTTGCCTTACGAGCAACGTGCCTCCTTCACAGTCTGCACGGAGCAATCTTTTCCTCATTCACCAAAAGCTGAAGTTGGAGATATTTTTGGGGGAATTGTTCTGCTGGCTACAGGTTTGGTTACATTATCATGGGCGCTCAGGTTATAGCTAAAACTAACCATCTTGTAGCTAAGTGTCTTAGTAGCACAGCTAACAGCTGCAGAGCACAGCTTCCTGTCTGTGATGGAATTAATCTTGTAGCCAATTTGCTGCAGCTCTTACTGTTCATTAAGCAATAAATTACTTAAACACAGACTGAAGCATACATAAAAATACTGGAAATGTCTTCAACTGCCATATCATTGTTATTTAACAATACGGATCGATACTGAATAACTTTCCAGCCCTAATGTCAATGAGTATAAATGAACAGATATTAAAAACTTAAACTTTTCAACAGTTGCTTTTTGTATCTCTGCTTCTGTCTCCTTGAACCCCAGTCGGCCTCAGCAGATGGCCACTCACACTGAGCCTGGTTCTGCTGGAGGTTTCTTCCTGTTAAAAGGGAGTTTTCCTCTCCACTGTTGCTACAAGCATGCTTAGTGTGAGGGATTGCCTTGAGTCGATGCAACCAACTGGTTTTCCTTAGATAGAAAACTTTGAATCAATTTGACTGGATAATCTGGAGAACTGTAAAGTGCCTTGAGATGACATGTGTTGTGAATTTGAGCTATATAAATAAATTGAATTGAATTGAATTGAACTTGGTTTAGTTTTTGGCTTTCAGGTAACCTAACTGAGATATAACAGTTTCTATTTGCTGTATATCTAATACTGGCAACCTGGTGTGCTGTTTTTTTGTATTCTGCTCACCTGTTGCAATATTATCTGCTATCCCTTAGGTCTAATGCTCTGCCTCCACTGGACTGGCCGCTACCATCCCAGTTTGACCAGTTCGAGCTGCGCATTGAGGTGCAGCCCCGCCCACACCATCGAGCTCACTATGAGACGGAGGGCAGCAGAGGTGCCGTCAAAGCAGCACCGACAGGACATCCCGTTGTCAAGGTCCAACACATGAAATTCACAAAAGCTAGCTTCTATTCACCTGCAGGGATTGGGAACTGGATTTTGTTTGATTTAATCAGGAGTTATTTTTTAGCTGTGTTTATATAATACTGACTTAAAGTCACATGCTGTGTCTGCCTGCTGATCTCGTCCCAGTCTGATGCTATTGATCTTAATCTGTGCAGCTGTGTGGATATACAGAGAGGAAGCCACTGTCGCTGCAGGTCTTCGTCGGAACAGCTGACGACCGCTCAATCAGGCCACACCCTTTTTATCAGATACACAGGTATGGACCTTTGGTGTCAAAAACAAATGTGTCTCCATGTTTTTTTGTTGGTTTTATCTAAAATCACCAAAACCCTCAGAGGATGCATCATCTGACTGTGGTTTTAAATTCAGCGTAACTAATCACTTGGTGCTTTTGAAAGACTCCATGAAGAATCCACCGCCTCCGATTTACTCCTTTATAAAAAAATCAGCTGTAAATAAACAGATAAGATTTAGACACAAGATATACAGTTTTTTTTTATGTACAGGGTTCATTCATCAGAACTCAGTACATTAAAACTGTAATTCATGCTCTTAACAGCATGTGATACAATGTTTAAAAGGATGTTTTAAGTAAACAGATTTGGAATGCCTGCTTTAAGATGGGAAATAAAGATATAGACATTAAGGATAAACAAGAACAAATACAGGCAGAGAAAAGATGCACAATAATGAACCACCTAAGACTCTGATGCAGAATTTTGTATATTTTTGTAAAAAACAACTTTAGCATCAATAATATTAATAATAACATTAATATTAATAATAATACAGGCACTCAAGTAATAAAGAGGACAAGTATATTTTAAAGAATGCAGAAAATCCCACTTTAATATATCTTGTAATTGAAAATAAACTTATACAAAGTTGGTCTTAATAAACATATGTCTTTCCTATCAGAATAGAAAATATATAAAAATTCACATTTTAGGGATTTAAATGTCTCTGTGAGGAGATTTACGTAAATCATGGAGGAGAAGAAAATAAAAGTAATAATGTGGTAAAATATCTTATTGTCATGGTCTTGTTTCTATTGTGCTTTACTTTGCTCCTTGTTTTCTAGGTTTATTGGTTTAATTCCAGTTTTGTTGTAATTTCTAGATGTATGTTTCTGTTGTCCTCTGTTGCCCTCTTGTGTTTGTGTGTGTGTTCCTTTCTCCTTGGCTCCCTCGTTGTCTCCTTGTCAGCTCGTTAGCCCTGCCTTTGTCTCTGTCAGCTATATATGCTCTCCCTCTGCTCTCACTCTTTGTTGGTTCCTTGTTGTTGCTGTCCTCCCATGCTGTCGTCCACCTACCTCGTCTCTCCCTGGCTCCTCGTGTTTGGTTTCCCCAGATGTCTCAATTCATTCCTGCCTTTGTTTACTGTTTTTGCCCCATTAAACTCCAAGAAATCTCCTCAGCCTCTCTGCCTCTGCATTTGGGTCCTTCAAACCTCAACCAAACCTTGACACTTATATACTATGCACTATAAAAAACAAGTTGATTGATTATGTGGAATCTAGTGACCAATATAATAATAAATATCATGAGTACTCGTATATTTTTAGTAATTAATTCATTTAAGTAAAGAATTAAGAACATGACATTAAGAAACAGTTCTAACCACTAAATTGAGGGATTATGTTGAGCTGATTAAATATAGGAATGTATTAATTTCAGAATTTAGTTCAGAAAAACGCAAGAAAATAGAGGAATTTCAAAGAGAATGGGATACAGGTGTGTAGGTCCTGAGACCAGAAAAACAGCACTAATCATTAACAAATCTGTAACTTTGCAAATAAACCATCTTAAACTGGGATATCTCTATAGTAGGCGCATGAAGTTAAAACAAAGTGTGAATAAAAACACCACAACTAAATCTGGAATGTTTCAGGAAATGGGATCATAGGGTTCATGATGGTATAAGGAAGTATTCTGGGAGCTCAGATCAGCTTGAGAAGCAAATCACAGGTAACAAAACACTGGTAGTCAAAGTTTAGGTTCCAGCCAGGAGATAAAAATAAGCTCAAACAGAAGGAAATATAAAGATGTAACACATCTACACCTCTAAAGACTGGCAGCCAGCCCCTCTTAACGTCCCACTGAAGAACATAATGGGTCACGTGTGTAGAGTGGAAGAAAAGCAGCAGACCTTATAACCCTTATAACTTTGACAAACGCTGGAATCTAGTCATTTCTTAATACTAAATTTCTCATATTTCATAAGGAAGTAAGCGGTAACAACAAAAAGGTGATAAATAATTTCTGCTGTTTAATAATGTTTTAATGCAGGATGACATTTATGAAGTATTCTTCTATCAGTTGCGTGGCTAAGAATTAAACCCCTATACCACAGAGACCAAACGATATGAGAAAAAGGTAAATAAATCCATAAACATTAAGATCTGCACATGTTACTATAATGGTACTGTTCTTTTCAAGTTAGTAAATGAAAACTGGCTCCTTAAATGATTATTTTTTTAGTTAAAAGTGGTTAGAAAATGTGTATTTTACGTTATAATGAATCTATGATCAACCTCATGGTCTCTGCAGACCTGCATTTAGCTTGATGACTTGAGGAAGCCACACCTGTGGCGCCCGGCTTGGCCTTTATGGAACGAATGAAGCCAGGATGCCCTCCTCAAGCTCAGCCTGGCTTTATTCATTTTCCTGGGATTTCTGAATTCAGTTTCTGTGTAATAGGCCTCAGGTTGATTTAGCATTAAAATAAATTATCAATGTGTTGAATCGCCCCTTATCCAGACTGATAAGTACAGTGGAGGATCTGTAAAACTACAGGAGGGGCTTTTTTTCATTCAGAGGACAGTGGAAACTTTGATCTCATGAACTCCTTAGTATACTAGAAGTTTTAAGATAAAAATCTGGTGACCTTTGGCTGAAAAATAATAAAGGTTCATTTAGGGATTTTCAGGGGGATTAGGAGAACACATGGCTAAATTAATACAAAAAGGCTTATCAGATATAGAATGAAGTTTTCCCTTTCAGTCCTCAGACCTATGGTTAATCTGTGGGTTGAGCAGAGGAGAAGAGAGGACCCACGACTAAAATGCATTAACGATCAACCAAACTTTATGTCACATGGTCCAAAATCTTCAAGTCAAAATTATTCAGGGACCATAAAAAATTATCATGTGATTATTTTTTGAGTCTTGCTTGATCATAAGTAACAGATTAAGTTGGTCAGATGTTTTATTGGAAAGGAACTCACTATGCTGGATGCATTTATTGTAGATATAGAAGTTAAAAACATTTTTTTCTTGCATGTTTGCCTTTGAAACGAAAGCAAGTTTCATAAAACTGGCTTAGTTTGTAAGTCGGATAGATTGGCCAAATGGGGCTTAGTTTGTTGTTATTTGGGTTTAACGCGGAGGTCTTCATCAGGGGGTCCACGAGCCCTAAGTGGTCCACGGAGGTACTGCATGGGGGTCGTGAAAGTTTTGGTTGATCAAACTTTTTTTTGCATTCTTTTCCACAAATTAAAATGTCTTTAAATCCACATCAACATGAATTCCACAGACTGTAGTAAACAGATAAATAGATAAATAGCAGAAGATGTCTTGCAGTCATTAATGCACACATTCAGCGACACACAGGAGCTCTTTCAAGCTGGGCACCGTTTCATTCACAACACCTGTCCCATCAACCAGGAATCAGAAATACTTTAATAATCCCAGGGAGAAATTACTTTAGTTACATTACTCCATCTGTAATAGAGTGACTATAGTTTGATAGGACACTATTTCATAGAATATATATAATTAGGGGGTCCGTGCTCCATCTCACCATCAGTTTTGGGTCCTTAGCCTGGAAAACGTTGAAGACCCCTGGTTTAACGTATTACTCGCTGTAAGTCTGAATTGGTTACTATGGCAATGGACCCAATGATCTTTACCTGAGTGTATTTCATAAAACTCGCCCAGAAAAATCAGACTTAAGCGCCTGATTCTGACTTAACTTAGGCACTATATTTCATACAGCAGTTACTGGTTGAATGTAAAATGCTTTTAATCTCTCAGCAATGGCCTTTTCCCTTTTCCCTGTTTCTATTGATGGTAATAATATTTATTTTTTTATAAAAAGTAAAATTCGAACCTCCTCATAACTTTCTACCAATTAAATACTGTTTGCTTTCATGTTTCACCATAGTTTCTCAATAAACTCTGTGCTGGATCTGTTAATGTGAGTTACTACACTGATCAGCTGAACCTGAAGTGGCATCAGTTGGAGAAACCCAGAAGATGTGACTAAATTGAATCAAAATTGGTGTCTAAGTCCAAAATTTTTGAGTGCATATTATAAAACATGCTGATGAAGATTTTCAGTCATCCAGGTCATATACATTCCGTAAAAATTCAAAATATATCCACTGGACATGGTTTCCAAGATCTGAAGACGTTTCGCCACCTCTCCAGGAAGCTTTCTAAATTCAAATCACAGAGGAACAAGGGACCTACCCGCTCCAGCCGGTGAACAATACCTCCTTAACAACCGACCCTTAACATCATAGACAGGTTTCAGGTATTACAGGAGAAAATCCCCCCTTAACGGCAATCCCCCCCTTTAACGACCAATCCTCAGAATCATAGACAGGTTTCAGATATTACAGGCTAATGATGGAACCAAACGACCCATTCATCGGTTACCATTTGCATGTTTCCAAGCGATACAAGGCTTTGTCTATGTAAGACTCAAACTCACTGCGGATCCAGACATTTGAATTGAGACAGCTTCCTGGAGAGGTGGCGAAATGTCTTCAAATCTTGGAAACCAAGTCCAGTGGATATATTTTGAATTTCTACGGAATCTTATAAAACACCCCTCAGGTGGCTATTTGTTTTTGGGTCAATAAAAAAAACTAGAAAGAAACGCTGTCTGTTCCCAGCAATCAGAATGACACTTTCGTTCAGAGAACGTGTTTCTAGAAAACTTTAATAAACTTAAAGGTATTGTGGAGAATTTCTGGAATTTTTTAAAAGACCCACCTTCTCCAGTATCGACAAAATGAGCATAGGAGAGCATGCACAAGCCCATTTCTCCTTGTGCACGCCCTAACCCCTAAATCCCTCAGTCACTGTATAGAGCGGGAACTATATAGTGGACTTCATAGCGAACTCAGTTAACTTACCGTTCGGACAGATGATCACTTCCCCATTAGTCCACTGCGGGGTGCTGCGCCATCTTTGTTATTAGTCGCAGCTGTTGGGAAGCGACAGCCTATGGCAACAGTGGGCCGCTGTGA